AAAAGTGGAGGAAAACACATCAGGTTGGGGTTTGCTGTGAAGTGACTGGGCAGGGGAGGCTGCTCCACGTTCAGCTGACCTAATGGGAAGTCTTCCCTTCTTCTGGTGTGCTCTGCTTAGATGACAATGAGGGCAGCAGCAGTGACACAGCCCCTCTCTTCCAAATGGCTGGGGATGGCAAGAACACAGATGACATCACCATTCCCATGCTCTTCCTCTTCAACAAGGAAGGGAACATCATCCTGGATGCCATCCGGGAGTATGAGGCTGTGGAGGTGCTCCTTTCTGATAAAGCAAAAGACAGAGGTAAGGTTAGAGGTGATTTAAATCCAGTTCCTATCTGTGCCGTAGCACAGTGGAAAACAGACAGGAATGATTTGCACTGCAGCCCAGAGGTGCTGTGGTTTTCTGTTTGACACTGGAATTAGATTTTTAGTAAGCAAGCCATTATCTGAGAGATATCATTGATATCCACTCCCCCCATGAGGTAACATCCAGAAATGCTGTTCCTAAACGTCACTTTGACTTATGAGAAAATCCAGCCTTTTGGATTCCTTTTGAGCCCTTTTTGTCATCAGCTGCTTTGAAGTATCATCAGGAACAATGTGTTTCCAGTGCCCTACATGGTGAACATCTCTCCCTCACCAAGATCCCCAGTGACATCCCTGGAATCGAAAAGCAGAGAGACTAGAACAATTTTGCCTATCTAAGGAGAAGTGGTTAACATAAGAAATAAGGCTGCTGACCTCAGATGTTTTGTGGGTGTTCTTGTGTAATGCAAGAAAATTGCAAGCCAATACATTCCCAGTAGAAATGTTTGAATGAAGCAGAAAATTCCAGATTATCCTCTTGTAAGCCTTCCTTATAGCACTGCTGTGTCCAAGAAGAGTAGGTAAGAAACAGTATCTCTAGAAAATCAGCCTATTTCCAAAGGGGATATGCCAAAATCTTGTCTTGTTTCTTCCTAACTTACAAATCCCTCCTGTTTATAACAGTGCTAAGTGCTCTGACAAAATGCTAAACACGAGATAGCTCTGCCTTTGAGAGTTTGTAATCCATATCTGCTTCTTCCCCCACCTTGTGCTTCCGTTTGGAATCCCAGCAACAATCTTTAAAGGTAAAATGATTCCAAACTACATTATTGATAGCAGTAAGTATCCCATGTCAACAGTGGCATGTGCAGTTAAATTCCCTAAAATCCTGAAATATCAGTGTCCTGCTTATAGCCGTAAACATGAAACTCAGAGAACCCTGCATGACTAAATTGGGCAATTGTTGGGAGCTAAGCTGGGACGTGGGAGACGTGTGTTACTTGCTTTGAGTGGGGAGGCTCTGGCTTTGGCTCTCTCAAATGCACAGTTCAGTAAACTTGGGAAATTCTGTCCATCTCCTGTGTGCTCAGATGTGGGATCCTGGTGGATCTGGGAGTGCTTTAAAGTCCAGCATTAAAGTTCAGTGCACGCAGTGGGTATTTGCTTAAGGCTGAAGGAGGGTAACTGGCACTGACCCATAAGTCACTCCTGAAGTTTGAGGAACCAAAATGAGCCTCAGTGTATTGTTTGCCCTCATGTAAAATGTGTTTAAAGGCATCCCTCCTATCCCTCTGTAAAATATAAGTCAGTACCATTAAATTTTCATATCACTGGAAAGTCTGCTCTTCTTTGAAGAAATAAGGCCAAGGGAAGTGACCTTGATTTTGGAATACATAATAAAATGCTGCATTCCTGCAGTTGTTTTAACTTTTTTTTTTTTTTCTCTTTTCCTTCCCTTTCAAAGATTTGGAAATGGAGAATATGGACCAGAAATCATCTGAAAATGATTCACACAAACCAATATATGAGGAAGCTCCTTCAGAATCTCAGGATGCTGGAGCAGTCAGTGAGGAGCCCAAAGGAGGAGGAGAGAGCTCTGCTGTTGGTGACGCTGATCCTTTGTCTCCTTCCAGTGCAGACAGTGCCAGTGTTTCAGTGGCAGATCAGGATCCCCACACCCCTGGACCTGCAGGGGCTGGTGCTCCGGAGACAGCATGTACACCAGGGGACAGCCAGCCTCAGGAACAAAACACCCAGACAGAGGCCAATTCCAAAGCTCACTGGGATAGTGAAGTCCAGCCTATGGAATCCATATTAGCAGACTGGAATGAAGATATAGAAGCATTTGAAATGATGGAAAAGGATGAGCTATGACTTGTAATAGTAACTTATTTGTTAATAAACAAGTGGAGACCTCTTTGGGTAGAAGTGAGGCCTGATATCCAAGAAAACATATTCAGTATTGGGATGAGCAAGCAGGTGTCACCTGGAAAACAGCATAGAATTCCAGCACAGGCTTTTTGTATGTTTTAATTTTTCCTGCTTAAAAATGGGAACGTGCAATCAAAGCAATTGTGTGGCCCTGTGGCTGGTGCTGTGCCCCAGGTAATGACAAGCCTCTTGTGCCTTCCAGGCTCCGAGAGGACTCTTGGGGCTCTGGGAAGCAGGAGTTGAGCAGGGTGGGGTGACAGACCATGGAATGGTTCTCGATAGGGCACCCACCCCTCCCCAGCTGAAAGCCTTCCTTACAGCAGCAGGGGAATTGTTTCCAGGTGTTCACACAGTTGGAAGCAGTCTGGTTTTGTCTGACATATCACAGTGCTGCTCCTCACTCCTTACACCCCTTACCACAAGAAGCCACACGGGGACCTGGAAGTTCCCCTCCTGCTCTGCTTTTCTAGCTGGAGGAATTGTACAAACCGAAGGCAGATGTGAGCAGATCATGTCAGGGAGGCTGGGCCAGCTGTGGGGCCACCCGGAAAAGGTGTGGGAAGGTCCTGCTGGAGGCGGAGAGGAAGCAGACAAGGCAGGTGACGAGTCCCACGTGTTTCCCTTGACTTCCCAGGTGGAAAAACTCCAATCTGCCCTGAAACCTGAAAGTCTCTGAAAGGACACAGCTACATCAGGTGTAACAAAACCTCTTTTCTGCAAGTTTGACTTCCAACAGCTTGACTCCATTGTACCTTTTATATACAACTTGTGTATGTGGTGTTTCAGGCAGGGAGGTCGGGGCCAGTGGGGAAGGGCAACAATTCTGGCTGTTGGGTCAATAGTTGAGAGTCCAGGGGGTGTTATCCCAGGCTCTGGAGTTTGTTACAGGTAAGTGGAAGTCCAAATTTGCTATCCCCATTATATTTAAGTAAAAATGGGGAAGTTTAAACAACATACAGGCATTTTGACTGTGTCCAAAGAAACTGCCAAAAACTAACTTGATTTATATAAATTGCTTTTAGTGAACTGTGGTTCAAAAAATGGTTTTATATTGAAGACTAAATGAACACTGCCTATGAACTATGCTGCACCAGGCTAAAAATACAGGTTTATGTTCATCGTTGGAATGGAGTAAATAAACAGGAAGTCCCACTCTGGACTGCACCTTTGATTTAACTGGTGAAATTACATGTGCTGAATATGCAACTGTTAATTAGCACAGCCATACTCTGTATTTATACTCTGTATAGCGAGCAGAGCAATCCCAGGCAATGCTGGATCCATGTACTCAGCCACACTTGCTTTCAAAAGTCTCAGAATGCACAGGTACCTCTTAAGAGCATGGCAGTCCATCTAAATAGCATCCAGAACTTTAAATCACCAGGAAAGGAGGGAATTTGAGGAGGAATATTGAATAAGTGTCCTTTGAAAGAAATTAGCTCTTAAATGGAGTTGCCATTCCTTTGCACAAGTAACTGTCTGGAGATTTGGACTTGAAGCAGCTGGGCATTTTCAGTTGGGAATGTTTTTATTGATGGGGTTTGTTACATAAGTTCATAGAAAGCATTTGACAGTGGGAGCCTTGTTAAGCATCCTTGGTCCCTGGGAGCGCCAGGACATGGCCAAGTGCAGGATCAAACCATGAGGTGCAGATCAAACATCTTCACTCAGAATTCTGTTGATTGCTCAGTGCCACAAAAGGAGCATCTTTGTTGCCATGCTTTTTGACATGGACATCATCTTGGTAGCTCTTTTGATGGAAATAGAGTTATTTTTATATCCTAGAGCCTCTGGTCATTATTATCTCAATATAGCAGCTAAAGGTTTTCTTTTTTTTACTTGCAGATTTAGTTGTACATGTAAAATTTATTAAAAGGTTAACTTTCCTTGCCATCACTAGCTCATTTTTAGTAACTGCTTTCTCCACCTGTTAGCAGAGCAGCAGGCATTACCTTTCAGGGATCCCAGAACTCCATTTTGGGGGCAGCATTTTGGTGGTGGCCTACCTCAGATAACTGTTGCATCCTTCCTTTTGGAGTGGGTTTTTGTTTCATTTAGTTCTGCTTCACCTTTGAAACTATCACGAAAGCCATAGCTTTGTTTACAGAACTGAATCAGGCAAGGTTGACCTTTTGGGAAAGAGGATTAAATGGGGGGACAGTTTCATTCAGGTTATTTTCACTTTGTATTTCCTTATGAGGACATGTGCTTTAGTTTAACCAGTTCATATCATTCTGGAAAGAATTAAGTTTTCTGTTACTATCCTCTTAAAAAGCAAAAAGAATGTATTCATCAAAAAGAAAAACCCTTTTGGAAAGGAGCCTATTCTTCCCAAATGTCTGAAAGTCTGCTCCCTGTACATGGAATATTGCTCGTAGCTCATTAATCAGGAATCACCCTTTCTGTATAGCATTTTACATTTCTTTGTATGGTATTGAGCACTGAAGAATTCAGGAATCACAGCTGCAACTAGCACTTATTCCATGCCATGTAATTCAGATCAGCCAATTATTTTCTCATTTGATCTTAGAGGAATCTTCTTAATTGTTTACATTTATTGTTTTTTAATGAAGTTTGAGAATGAGCCCAACTCTGGTTCTCCTCCTTCTGCCAGTGTCCCTGAGTAGTCACCAGTGAGTGTATGTTGAGAGGTGAAAAACAGGACATCTTATGCAACAGGCATCAGTCAGAACATAGAAAACAAACCATTCTGTGAATGAAAATTGTATGTTCAGATTTTATAAGATTTTTGGTTTGTTTTTTTTTTTTAGCCAGACCAATTTACAGCCGTATATTTTCTTATGGCAGATGTCTAATAACAGGTGCTGTAACACTGTTGTTGGGTTTTACTCTCTGGTGGTGTTTCTAAGGGCAACTATGTAAAAGTGTGATGTAAAAGTCTGGGCTAAAATGTACATAATCTGTGTACATAATTGTGTACTTGATTATAACTGCTGATTGTAAAGATTTAATAAAATGTAAATATTCTGGTCAAGCTGTGCAGAACTGATGCTCATTTCTGCATTGCTGTTGGCTGTCATTTTCAGCAAGGCAGTCACACTGATCTGTCACACTGAGGCTTCATTGGCAGCCTCGGCAGGGGATGGAGCAGCCTTGTGGCTGCCACCCTGGAGAAGCCTGGAATTTTTCCTTGGGAAGTTGGCTAAACCCAGAGGTATTGTAATAACCAAAACTCCACCTTTTCAGTCTGGAACTGAAACTGGACAGGCTCTCAGCAACCAGATCTATTAGGATTATTTCAGCCTCTCTTCTCTATGATTTGGACATTCTTGTATTATTTTTAAAATCCAGACCCTCAAAAGTTCATTTTGTCTGCTGCACCTGTTTTATTCAGAATGAGAAAAACAGGTCTCACTTGGGCCTGATGAGGTGAGTCATGGAGGGGTGTATCCCTCATCCTTCCTCTATTATGAGCTCTCTTTCACCACCTCTATTCCTGTAATTTTTTCCTCTCTGGAAGTTAGGATTAACAAAATTCAATTAACAAAATTCAGATTAAGATGTTGGAGCCCTAAATTCAAGTCCTTGTTCAAGTGCTGAGCTCTGTTCATGATATAAAGTGGAAGCCATTGTCAGCCTTGCTAGGGAAGTGCTAAAGTCCTTCAATTTACTGTTTCCTATGTTCTAGGAACATCAGAATTTAGGGACTAGAGAATTTTGAAGCAAAGGCCCTTTCTGCCTCCTTTGAGGAGTAAGGGACAATCTGCAAGTGTCCTGCACCCAGTTCAGGGATCATCAGAGGTGCTGCCCATGCAGGCAGCAGGATGTGATTGCTTCAAAGGCAAAAACCACAGAATTGACAGCCAGGGTGGGCTGTGCCACTCTCTGTATTTATTTTATAACAAGAAATCATGACTATTGAGGTGTTTATTTCTGTGTCTGATCACGTTCCTGACATTCCCCCTCCCCTGGGATGCTCTCCTTGCATGGATGGATGACTGAAGGACAAGGGACACACAGTGGCACCAAGTCCTCACCCCTCCTATTAAAATTATATTTATTTATTTATGCCAGTGGTTGTATTGAGGGCCTGTTGCTCAATTGCCACATTTCCATTTTCCATGCAGGTCACCTAAAGGTGTGACACCTTCCACCCAAAGGACTTGAGCTGCTCTGACTGAAATTCAGCCACAGCTGAATTCACATTAGCTCAGAACTACTGTGGCAGGAATTCCATTTTCTCCTAAAGTGCTCCATGAAAAGGTAATGTTAATAAACATTTCCATCTGGAATGGAGCTGATAAAACACTGTTGACCTGCAGAAATTCACCCAAGCTATTAATGCCCAGCATGGAAAAGTTAATCTTTCCTAATGCTTTGGTGGAGAGTGCAGAGTGATGGGCTGGGGCCCCTGCAGAGGAATCCTAGCCAAAATTGTGCCAAAAAAGTCTGTGTGGTACTTGCTGGTACCCACAGGTGGTTTTGAGGAGCAGTGGGGCCACCCTGGGATGTCTTGGATGCCCCACAAGCTGCCACTACAGGACAGACCTGATGGCAGCAGTGCAGGGCAAAGAATGAGAAGCAATCCAGAAAACCAGATTCATCCTTAAAAAACCCAGCCCAAACCCTACCCCAGGATTTCTCTGCCCTTTGCCTGGGGCTGCCATCAGTTGGGAATACCAGGCTGGGAAGGAGACAGTGGATTTTGGGCACAGGTCTTGGTCCAGGGGATGCTTGGGGGTTCAGGAAGGGACATGGAGCAGCAACGTGGGTGAGAAAAAGGATGAGCTGGTGATGCTGAATTTGATGCATTTCAAGACTCCCCTGTGGACCTCCTGAAATGCAGATTGATAGTATGAGATATGCCTGAGGCTCCCCTCTGAAGCAAAAGCCATTTGCTCAACGTCCTCTGGCCCAGTACTCCTCATGATTGAAGAAAATGAGCAAAGAAGGCTTAGAAAGGTTTAAAGGGGGGAAAACCCAGGCAAAAGATACTCAGGTGATGACAGAAAAGGCATCTCTGCCCTATGCTAGCTCTCCAGCACTTTATGTAATGGAGTACAGGGCTCCCCATGTTCCTTGTGGGGCTGGACACGGGTTCTCTGACTGCCAGGCTGGAGCATCTCCCTCAAATGATGTCAATCTTCACTGCATTGGTATTACAGCATCATAAAAAATTACAGAGCTGCTATTTTAGGTAGCAGCTCCCTCCAAGTCAAGTGAATAAATGTAGCTCCATATGACTCACTCTTGGGGATTATTAATAGACACAAAAGCAGAATGCCAAAACCCCAGGAATATGCTGTGTTCCCACACAGAGCTTTCTAGCTTCTCGCAGCAACGGCTCTTGAGAACTTTTTGTCTCAAAATTTAATATATACATATAGTAAAATAATTAAGTATATAAATTTTCTGTTGACCTTGCACCTTGAAGGCTTTTAGCAGGGGGGTTTCTGCAGGGATGAAGGATGGTTGCTCCAGGGCACCAGGCTCCATCTGGGATGGCAGAGCAGCGGGGTGGAGAAAGGGTGTCATTTCAAGAGGGAAAATCACAGGCTTCTCCTTTGGCTGCCATGCGTGTCCATGAGGCTGGTGTTGGAATTGGCTTTTATGAAGGAGGTTCACAGTCCCACAGGTGTTGGTGATGAAGATGATGATCCCGAGGATGATGATGATGGTGACTCTCTCATCTTCAAACTCAAAGTGAGCATCTCCGTGGTTCTCATGGGTAGATGTGTGCAGCTAAACTGAAAGAAAATAATACGATTTTTTTATAAGGCAAAGACACTAACATCTTTGAGTTATATCAATTTTCCCATCTTGCAGTACCCTGAGCTGGGGCTTCTTTCCCTTTGCCACAATAGTACAGTAACAATAATAGCAATTTCACTCAGTGCTTAGCTTTTTGGATGTCGGATCTCCCCAAAAACAAAGTAAATATGGTGCCCTTCCAAAGCCATCCTTGCATTTCTTGTATCCTCTTCCCCAAACACCTACAGAATTAAATTGCCAGAGAGAGATTTCAGCCTGAAAAAGGAGAGTTGCCCAGCAGTACCAGGATCCAAAGTTCAGTTCTCCAAAAAGCATCTTCCATAAAGCCACACTGGCAGAAGTGCCATTAATCTGTGCTTCCTCACTGAACACCTTAAAAATTGCTTGTACCACACAATGACCTTGGCTAAGAGCAAAACTTTTGATTTTCCAGAGTGCAATGCTGTTATTTCCCCCCTGGACTGGGGCTACCCCAGACAGGTAAAGCATAGGGAAGCACAGCTCAGTATGAGCATAGCTCCGACTCCCCAACACCCTACAAAGGACCTGAGTCAGGGCACTGGTCTTATAGTCATGGAATTCCAGAATGGTTTGGACTGGAAGGGACCTTAAAAATCATCTTGTTCCATGGGCAACTTGGAACAAGGTTGCCTCCTGCCATGGGCAGGGACACCTTCCACTATCCCAGGTTACTCCAAACCCAGTCCAGCCTGGCCTTGGACACTTACAGGGATGGGACAGCCAGAGCTTCTCTGGGCACCCAATGCCAGGACCTCACCACCATGGTGGAACAGGACACCACCCTTTTTGTGCAAAGCCCATATGACATTTGCTCTTTGACAGACACACACATCACTAGTGTGTCAACCAGGCTGATCTGGAGTTGAGTCATTGCTAACTCCAAAATGAAAGTGACAAATTACTGTTTTACAGACCTGGGAAAACCAAAATAGCTGAGAACAGAATGTTTATCTCCAGGCAGATTCTTGTGTGATGACACAGCAGTGTCTACCGAGTTCAAACATGTCTCCCTGGTGCTTCATCGACCCCTTCGCTCCTGTCTCACCATCCAGAGTTTAAATACCTGTTGTACTCTGGGGCCAGTCGTCAACCTGGGTGTTCTTACAGCAAGAAAGAGGCACACTGCAAAAAATCCTGGGATGCTGCTGATCTCTCCCCTACAGCCGTGGCAGCACTGAGTGCCATCCAGATGCTGAGGTCAGAGCCCACCCGAATGCAAACAGGAACAATAGGATGAGGGCATTCCTGGGATGAAGATTTCACCTCTTGTTAATGCACTGCTGCTCCTGCTGTTTACAAGGGCATTGAGAGGTGCAGTGACTCAGCCTGGAGCTATGTGACCCATCCTGGCCACAAAGGGCTTGTGGCAGGGGAGGACACAGAGATGGCTCTGCTGGATCGTGGCAGGGAGAACTAATTCAAAAGAACCAAACTTCTAACTGAATGCAAAGGAAGAAATTAACGTTAATTGGAGGGTGGAAGGGGCTGGGAGGGGGCACAGCTGAAGTGGAGCTCCCAGTAATTAAACAAGAGGCATGGCCCAAGGCTGGGCCTGGGGTGGGCAGCAGCTCCTCAGTTCCCCTCCCAATGCTTGGGGCAGGCTCAAAGGAGGAAAACCAGCACCACTCAAAGCGCTCTGGACAAAGGAGAAAGCACCTCAAGGGAAGAAGGTTGAATGCAAAACCCCTTCCCCACAATTTTCTCCAAGATCCCTGAAAATAATGTGGAGCTCAGGAAATACTGCATCAGCCTCCTAAAGATAAGTTTAGGGCTCAGATCTTTGAGAGGAACCTTGAAATCCCATTTACAGCTAAGCACAGCATAGGGATCCAGATAGGATCCTTCTCTTCCCAGCTTCCTTTCCACATCATTGAACATATTTGAGCAGAGCAAAGCAATTGGGAGGTAGAGCTCCAAGGCGAGATGCATTTTCAGCCACAGTAATCTGCTTATATTATTACAGACCTTCAGTGGCCACATATATTTAGACTTCTAACAAAATCTACCAGGGTTTTGCACAGGTGGAAGAATTATAGCAGGTTCCAAACCTTGTGCCCACCCTGGTGCCTCCTAGCCAGCAGCACAACAGCCTACCCAGGCCTTCAAAAATATTGCCATCTACAGCGGGGAGGCTGTAATTCATCCAGAAGTCTAAAGCACCTGCTGCTGGTTGGAATACAAGCACAGGTATTTACAATGGGAATTGCTTTTCCTCTCTCACAAGATGTCCATCGAAGTGCAGGTCTCCCATGCCAGCAGCAGCAGCATGGAAAATATTAAATAAAATAATTATTAAAACTACGAGGTGACTGAAAGAAAGATCATGATGTGTCTAACACAGTGTTTATGTGAGAAAATTTACACACAAGATGTTCAGCACCTGGACGAGGAAATGTTTCAAAAGAACAGATCCAACCCCCATCACTCCTGCACTACTGTGAATGCTTTCCAAAGTGCTTTGCAGAAAAGGGTTTGTGGGACCAAGCCCCAGGACTCTTTACTAATTGAAGTGTTTTAAGTAATTAAAATGCACAGTCTCTTGACTCTCCCAAGTGTAGTCACCTGCTCAAGAGCTGGCATAAATTATGAAAAAAATCATATCCAGGAGGAGAGAGACATCACCATGAAGCATTCATCACTGAACCCAATGGCTCTGTAGCACTGTGAGATGCCACAGCCCCAGAAACAGCAATGTGATGGGAGGAAGGCAGAGAAACTTTGTCTCCAGGGAGATCAGGATACTTGTGAGGGGCTGCCAGGCCAATGCAGCTGCTCAAATGAGCAAGGATTTACGGAAATCAGAGCTGGTTGGTGGTTTTTGACCATTAATAGGATAAAAGTGAATATGCCACAGAGGACCCTGACACTGAGCTTTTATTAAAGGAAGAGGTTGAAGCTTGTCTGAATCCTGGTTGTCTGAATCCTGGAATACAGCAACCTAGAATACAACAATGGGCTAAGACTGAGGCTGCCATGGGGCCTGGGGAGCCTGCAGAGCTCAGAAACAGTTTCTACCTTTAGGAAACAGGTTGATTTGCAGCCTCACAGCTGCTCCTGCTGCTGGATGGGCTCACAGCCAGCCCTTTAGGAATGGGAGCAACTCCCACGTCTGTCCCCCACTGCTCATCCCCTGCCCAAAAGCCAAAGGTAAATTCAGTGCAGGGATGGCAGCAGGAGGGAGATGGGGGTTTCTGGAGATATTCCAGGTACAGCATAGTACTGATGTAGAACAAAATCTTCAGATGTGGACTGTCCAGTCTCACTCAGAGTGAACATTCAGGGAAACCACTTTAGTTAAGAAATTCAGCAATAACTTAAGAGATTTGCAGAGGTCACAGGTGATCTTGAAGGGACTCAGATCCTTTAGAGGGATCTGACTTTCAGAAATCCCAGTGAAAAATGGACAATATTTGAGCTGAGTGCCCCCTCAAGTATCAAGTAACATCCTAAGGGATGTTAATGCACCCTCAATGTGGTCCACACCCATCCCACAAATGAAATCAACACAGTGACAGCAAACTACACTGACAAAGCTTCTCCACTGGAAGCAGTGCAAACCGTGTCCTCATATGGCATCAAAGCTGTAAGAAATATCAGCACAGGTAACAATCTTCTTTGAAATAATAAATACAAAAGGTGTATTTTTTCCTTTTTTTTTTTTTTTAACTCATTACAGCATTTGTTAAAAATATTACATCTGCTTTTGAGAAGGTAATATCCTCTCCATTTAATATGGAAAAATAAACTCTACAGGACACACAACACATCCCCCCAGTTGGCACAGAGCTGCTTTAAGAGATCAGATCCACAGGATACATCAAGGCAGAGGAGAGGTTTGGTCTTCCTTGTCCCCAGACTCTTAAAACATCGTGTTGTAGGAATGGTAAAAGACAAGAATACATAAAAACAGTAAAATGTTTATTTTCTTAGAAAAAAAGAGATTCAAAATGATTGTGATCACACTCCCATTCGTGCTCAGCAAAGCCAATACTGCAAGCTTAGTCCTTGATCAAGATACCTTTTCAATGAAACTTTTTTCATCTTAAAAAACAAGTTCCTGCTCCTGTATCACTTCCAGTATTTCAGTGATAACATGCTTTTAATGGATAATAGTTTCTCAGCTTCTTCTCAGCTAAGAAACAATGCCTGCCATGGCAAAAACATCCCATCTCCAAAGCTTGGAATCACCAGCACTAACAAGCACTCCGGCCCCAACATGGACGGACACACAGCTCTGGGGTGTTTCTTAGATGCTTGGATGTTCACTTATGGAAGCTTGGTATAACACTACCTCATCTGATAGAAAACAGGCCAGAAGCCTCAATAAAATCAACAACGTCTTTTGGATTAACTTTTAAGGATTTGCTGCATATCTGGACACAGAAAAAAAGTGAGAAGTTGCAACAAGTTTTAACTAGCAGCAACAGAAACAGTTCCTTAAGAGTTCTTAGCAATATTCCTCATGTGTTCATTAGGAAACACTGTAACTGAATGGAGCATATAATGTGGAAATGGTCTTCTTCTGTTAAGGAGTGCTGTTCACTTGAGCAGACGTCCCATAGGTTGTATCCAGAAGGCTGGGTTGGATCTATTTACACTGGAGGTGCTCCTGGGGTGAGTGTAGAGCTGGCACTATGTGACATCCTCCTCCTCTGAACAGTAGTCACGACCCTGCAGGGACAAAGGCCAGGCAGTTGGTACACAGAAACAGCATACAGGAATAAATCCAGAGAACACTTACTGAGAGCAGTTCTCTAAACTTGGGGGGTTGAAGTTCAGAGCTGGATAGAAATGTTAGACACAAGGAATTTGCAGGAAACCAGGATAGAACACACTTCCCTTTCTGTCACTATTAATCTGATAAGTATCATCCCCCATAAACTGAATTCCAGGGAGGGGGGTCCAACAAACTGATTCACAAACCTGCTTTATGTAAAGATCCACCTTAGACACA